CCATCCGAACAGCGGAAGGACCCTTGGATCGTCTCGCTATTGAATATGCTTTCTGACGCATCAACTTCCGGTTACCCGCGTGCTCTTCGCCGCCAAGCAACGCATTTCGCCATACGAGATGGCCTGTTATACCGTCGCAACTATCAAGTGACGGGTCGTAAATGGCTGCTAGTCATACCCAGCCATATGCGGTCTGATATCTGCAAATATTTTCATGCTGAACCGCAACACGCACACGCCGGTGCGCTAAAGACGTATGAGCGGATCCGCCAACGTTACTACTGGCGGGGTATGTACACGTTTGTACGCAAACACATTCGCTCATGTTCCCAGTGTCAGTAGCGCTAGACATTCCCTCATTCACCCGGTCAACTGCAGACTTTGCCATGTCCTGCACGCCCATTGGACCGTGTTGGGATTGACCTATACGGCCCGCTACCGTGCTCTGTTGGTGGAAATAGATGGGTGATTGTGGCTGCCGACCATCTGACAAGGTACGCCGAAACGGTAGCGCTACCTTCGGCTGGTGCTCGTGACGTTGCAACCTTCATCTTGCACCGGTTTGTTCGTCATGGTGCACCACGGGAGCTCCTGAGTGACAGAGGACGCGTATTTTTGTCAGAAGTTCTGCAGCAGCTCCTACATTCATGCCGTACGGTACACCGCACATCCACAGCCTACCACGCTCAGACCAACGGCCTAACGGAACGTTTCAACAGAACTCTCGGAGACATGCTCGCTATGTATATTGATTCCGACCACTCCAACAGGGACGTTGTTCTTCCATTCGTGACGTACGCCTACAATACGGCGATTCAATCAACAACAGGCTTTTCTCCATTTTTTCTTTTATATGGTCGTGACCCATGCAACACACTCGACACAATTCTGCCATACAATCCTGATGCTTCAGAGTTCAGCCCAGTTTCTGAAATGGCCGAACATGCCGAAGAGTGTCGTCAAATTGCACGGTCCTTCACAGCCGATAACCAAGCCCTCCAAAAAGATCGCCACGACCATGATCTTGTTCAGAATACCTTCCCCGTCGGTTCTCTCGTGTGGCTCCGACTGCCTTTCCACTCTCCTGGACTGACTCTCAAGTTTGCACCGAAGTATACGGGCCCTTACCGCGTCATACAGCACCCTTCTTCTGTCAGCTATGTGATTGTACCACTCAAGCCGTCCACGGACAAGCGCCGCCTTGGTCGTGAGACGGTCCACGTCAGTCGCCTCAAGCCCTGTTACGACCCTCCTGTTTTCTCGTCACCTTAAGTCGCCAGGATGGCTCGTCTTCGTCGCCGGGGCATTGTAGTGGGGAATTCGCAAAGCAATGACTAGTGGGACCATCGCTGAGTGCGAAGCGCGAGCGGGAGCACGAGCTGTAGACACTGGACTGCCCGAGCATTTGTTTCTGTACCGGCTGTCTGCCTATTACCTGGCGTCGCTAATAAACCCCCTTGCAATATATATATATATATATATATATATATATATATATATATATATATATATATATATATATACTGCTTTCATCGCGTAAAAATTCTCTATAATAATTTTGTCCTTCATACCGTCCTTTATTTGCTTTGTCACCATGGTAACCATTGCGTTGTGGTCACTGTGGCATAAAACAATTTGATGTGTTCAGAAATGAGCCATGCTCTGCTTAAAGTCAAATAAATAGACTACAGTTTACATGCGAATGTTACACTCGTTTGAGTGCAGCACTTCCCACGAAACCTTGCGCTATGGGTCATCCGTTGCCGGGCAGCTATATCAGATGTTACCGGTCCTTCGGACGAAAGTCGTTCCACTATATCGCCTTCCCGTCGCTTTAGCGTCTGGTCATACGTTGCTCTTGCCGACGCTCTTTTCTTCCACCTTATTTTTCTGTTCTAACTATGTGCGTGCTAGTCAAGGCAAAAGATATTCACAACTGGTTGTAACGGTGGTAGGACAATAATCACTTCATAAGAAACTGAGGCGCAGAGTTTGAAGGGTCATTCCGCCCCTCCTCCAATGCAGCAGCGCAAGCTTCCTCCCTCGGAAAGCTCGCGAGGCGCTTTTTTTTTATCGGAGGCTTCCATCCTGGCGATGGCAGTTTTTCCGGTACTTGTCAAAATCCTGCCAAAAAGCGCGAGGAACAGCATAGGAAAATGAAAATGGCTTCCACCATCCTAATCCGGAGCCACGCAATGCCACCGGTGCGCTGCGCTGAATTGAAGCGGAATCTAGCAAGACAGAACTTTGCGGAAGAAGACAGTCCATACTTCTATGATATTGACAAACGTCTTTCGATTTTTTTTTTCGACTCGAATGACTCTCTGCTCTCTTCTCCTTACTGTGGAGTATTACCTTTCTTGCGCACCGCACCAACACAGATTCGATGAGCTCCTCGCTGGTCACGCGCCACCGCCGGCGGTGACAACACAGGTGCGCCGCCGGCAGCAATTTTGGTACCGGCGCACAGTTCTAGTTGAGCAGAGCAGGAGCCAGAAGGGATCCTTGCGGGACACCTCTGTGAGACATGAAGCAGCCTCGATGCTTTCAATTCACTCTTATCACAAATGTGTGGTTCTGAAGAAAAGGGTAAACAAATTTCACTACCCACGGTGGAAGTACTAGTTTGAACTACTAGAAAAGATACTGTAGTAAATAACTAGTACGCGTGTTTCCTTGAAGCAGTGAGTGATGCGTTGCCATCTGACAGCTGGGGTGAAGCCACGTAGCTCGGCCGATTTTTGGCCGGAGTGACCTCTCTTGTAATTTTTATAATACTCTATGGGGGCGCAATGTTTACTGACAGCGCCACTGCAGTGTATATAGTGCAAGAGTATAAGAGGTTGGGGGAGGGGAAACGTCAACGATATGTCAGATAGAGCAAAGGAAGAGGATACAGAGAAGATGCGTGCGCAAACTTCCTTGACTGGTTCGCCGCATGAGCACATAACACATTATTTGTATCAATGCTAAGGCGGAAGTGTTGTAGTCCCGTGTGCTCAGATTTGGGCGCACGTTAAAGAACCCCAGGTGGTTGAAGTTTTCTGAGCCCTCCCCTACGGCGTCTCTCATAATCATGTGGTGGTTTTAGGACGTTAATCCCTACAAATGAATCAAATCGTTTCTTTCGTCTATATTTATTGGGTGGTTTGAATCTTGGTTTTACGAAAATATTCAATGTGGTGCGACGAAGATCACACATGCTGAGTGAGTGCATTGCCAGCTTCGGTGCCAGTCGGTGCCAGGATAAGAACACTCGGATCAAAACGTCATCGCTACCAGCGCATCGTTACTCAAGATGGTATGCGTGGAATGTATTACACCGAACACAGATCGCTAGTGTCGATGTCGCAGGGGCACACCATTTTCCGTTAAGCCTTTTTGCGCTATTTGACGTCGAAAGAAAAACACTTCCACGCGATGGACGCGAATCAAATTCAGTCAAGAGGACGTACACGCACTGAGCAATGAAATTAATGGCACTCTTCAATATTGAAATTTGATGTCAGTGCTTATTTAGGAGTAGAACGCCACAGCGATATATTCTTTGCAGTGCGTTCTTCAAACACTTGGTGCATGAAAAATTTTCTAACTTGCTATGCACCTACTACGTGGGCTGAAGGGAATAGGCGTAGTAGCGTAAGTGCCTTTTGTACTTGGCTTTGAACCACGAATTCGTTATGGTAATACATATTCTGACGAGCGCTCACAATGGGCGTTTTTACTACGCATTATTACTGTCATATTTTATGTTGCATTGTGAAGCATGTATAAAAGACGTGCGTGCTTGTAAAACATGAAAGCTATTTTCATTGCAATTCCAAGCAGATAAAATTCTTTTTACTGCATTGGGCAAGCTCAATGCAAAACATTCTTTATAAACTTTATTTTGAATAACTGCCTGTTAAAACTTCGTTACAAAAAAAGATATACTTGTCTTGGCTTATATTTGCTGTCTCGGTGATGTTGTACCTGAAGCAATAGAGCCTTGTTTCGTGGGTTGCAAAGACGTCATTCTATTCTGATATGTGCTCCAGCAGACTCTGCAGAAAAATTTTTTGTTGATTCGGACAAGGTTCTTCATCCCATTTTGACATTTCTTGACGAACTGCCGTTTGGTATGCTATGTTTGCTATGTATACACGGTCTGTGGAAGACGCGTATGAAGGACCGCAACGCAGAACCGATAACCTCTTCACGCACGCATTATGCATTTAAAGGATGTTTATGATGAACACCGTGTTCAGCCGGACTGGTAGCCCATCTTTGTGAGGCGCTTACCCTCGCCATTTTTTTGTGCAGCACATGAATAAAAAACTCTAGACTCTAGGATAGGACATTAGCTTTCATGTTTCCTTGTAAGCAGTGTTTTTAAACCAATTGTCGATGTAGATTTGCAACGGTACTTCTGTTTGTGATACTGCGTAATGTTTTAATACACATTTTAATAAATACCATGTTCAAAAAAAGACGCATGGCCATGTGGCAGAACATTCGCTTTCCACGCAAATGACCCGCTTTCGATTTACACTCGAATGAAAACGACCCTGGTTGGATCCCCAATCTGACCGAGAATGTTTATGCATTTGCTTTACTTGCATCGTTGCCAATTTCTTGTTCACGCATAAGACGATACTCTTTCGCTCACAGCACCATTGCCAACATCCACGCCGGAATTCCTGCGAAACGACCTCGTTACATCCTTAAAAGTTTCACCCACTGTGGTGCTATCGCAGTTGTGGTGCCTAATTCTTGACTGCAAGAATGTAATCCCAGTCTTGAGGACTGAATTTTCGACGGGGAAAATTGTTGAGGCCTCACATTTAGGGGCACGTCAATGAACCCAAGGTGGTCGAACTTCACGGAGCCCTTCCCAAAAATTGCAAGCCATGTTGTAATTCAGCTATGCGTAACATTTAAAGCAACCAAAAACATTGTGTGTTGTATGCATAGACATAATTGATTTCGCTTCTTTTTTTTTTCATTTCTTATTTGCACAGATACCTATTGCAAAGACCCAGGGAAAAGTAAGTTGGATGATCGAATCCTCTTCAAAGGAAGTGCGCGCTACGACGACTGTTCACCCGATGGCTGTGCTCCTGAGACGGTCGCTTATTACAAGTGTGCGGAAGGCTTCGAGCTTGTGGGCGAAAGGACCATTACTTGCACCGAAAATGGCACTTGGACTCATACGAAGCCGAAGTGCCGGCGTGAGTGTACATCATACGGCAAAAATCTATTGAATCGTTGGTAGCACTCAGCTGAATAATTTCGACAGGACGGTAATACAAATACGAATGTAAAACACTTGAATCAAATGTCTTCATGGTAGAGTCTTAGTTTTCAGCATGTAAGATTGTTGGTTCGAGTACTTCGCAGCTCTAGCGTAAACTTTTGCTTGCGGTGTCAAACTAGCCTTGTCATGCTTCACAGGGTGGAACTAAAAACGAGGTGCATGGTTGATGACCACCTGGAAAGCACAATTTTTGACAAATAACAAACAGCGGATAATAATGCAAAAAAAAAACGCTCTGCACCACGTCATGGTCACACACCTTAGTTTACAAACAAGAACGTGCGATTTATATTTCTCACTTATGTCTCACAGTGCTCTTTCTTTCTCTCACACAGTGTTCGCTCTCTAATAGCGGTAAAGAGAGACAACATTTATTGAAAAGGGTCCTCCTTCTAAGGCTTCACAGGCTATAGCGGGTCGGCGGGCCTGACCCATTTAGCTCCGTTTAGATAGTCACGCCTCCCACGACCACGTATATATTGGGTGCGTATGTCCTATGTCGACCGTGACAGTTTGCTCTGGACCGCAGTAGGTTATATGTGCTAGTGTAGGAATGTCTCCGCACCACGGGCATTCGTTGGGATATCTTGCTCGGTACATCATGTGAACTCTATGCAGATTTGGGAATTCTTTGTCTGCAGGCGGCGCCAGTCCCAAGCTTGATGTCTATCGAAGTCCTTGTAGGGAGGTACCCTAATGCGGCGATCTAATCTTTTTTTGTCTTCGATTCTATGCTATGCCATTCCTTCATCTGTATTCTCTTCAGCAGCTGGTGGTAGTGGGGCTCGGCCAATGAGTACTTGAGCCTAAGATTTTGTATACTATTTATACTATATTTAAATATATAATATATTTATCATAATATTTTTTATAAGAAAGCGTGTCTGCCTTCTCTTCATGCTAGGTTCCAAATACTAGCAGTTCGTGCCTTCCTAAAAACATATGCATCTCCAAGGAGGAGGTAGCAGTATGTTTTCATTAAGCAGTTTACGTCCTTCTTAACAATGGTCTAGAATGAGCGGCCTACAAGTCATCGTCGTACAGAAGTTCTAGGAAAAATTACAAATTGACGTTCGTGAGGTACTCGTATTAAGAACACCCAATACAACAATGAAAATATAATTCGACAATATATTTCATAATATTAGCAAACGTATTCTCAGTAGACGACTAAATGCCATTTTAAAAGACCACCTGGCGATATTAGAATTTTACATTGTAATAGCAACCGATACTTCAGTTCGCGAAAAAAAGGCAAGAGCCGAAATTGCATCTTCAGTGTTGGTCGGTCTTTGTATTTGTTTACCCCATTTCACATCTATTTATCAAGCGCAATTGCTTGCCATTCTCTTAGCAATACGGAAATCGTCTCAATCCATGACAGACGCTACCATTCTTTCATAATTTATTGTTTCCCAATATGTTCTTTGTTTAAAGATCCCTATCTAAACATCCCGGCTGGTAAAACAATTCGATCTCACAAATAAGGTACCATCCGTCTCATGGCCAATCCCTCGTGATGGGTTGCGCTGGGACTCTGAGGAACAACCAACCAACCAACCATCCTGGCCTGTATGAGCCGGACACCAGACTAACCCATGGTCAGAGAGGAGTTCGTTTGCCAACTGATTGATGGCCTTTGTTGGTACTATGTCCTTGAGGTACATGCGACAAGCTGTCTGAGAGTCTGAGACAACTGAAGCAGAGAGGCCACAATGCATTACGAATGTGGTCTCCGCGATTATATCGCCTGTAAAGCACCATGTGAACGCTTCCATCCAATTAGGTATGTTTCCAAAAGGCGACGTGCAATTTTTTCAGCACCTTAACACCCTGCGAATAGGCAAACTTAGGCCAAGTGTCAGGATCGTTCACAGCATCCATGCATACAAAAAATCACTCTGTGACGTGGTCAGGCACCTACTCGCAGTAACACTGATGAACAGAGGTGCGCCAAAATAAGGCACACAAGTAAAAACAGCAGGCCTGCGCTGAAGAGTCAGCACAGTCACAGCGAAAGCTGGAAGAGCGGTCTTTCAGAGCTTTTTCCAAAACGCTCATTGGGTCCTGAAACTTCTGCAAGCACAGTTTTTTGGTGCCCACTATGCCATTATTATTATATATTGTAGGGTAGTACGCCGGCATTTGCAGTGCAATCTTTCATTATTCTTCTGAGGAGCGTGGTATCCGATAAACAATTGCAAGGAATTTTGAGTTAATTGTTCATGCAGCGGCTCACGATGATAAGAAATTTTGTCTGAAGTCGCTATGCGCCAGAAATAATAGGTGACCGAAAAATGGCAGCATATCCACAAAGCGAAAATTGGAGAGTGGGGCGAAACATCCATCCGTTCATTAGTTCTTGCTTCCGTCCGTCCATGCGTGCGTCTGTGTGGCCACCCGTGCGTCCATCCGCCCGCCCGTGCGTGCGTCTGTTCGTGCATCCGCACGTTCATCTGTGTGTCCGTCCCTGCTTTCGTCCACGCATCTACTCCTGCGTCCGTCCATGCGTCCATTCGTTCGTACATCTATTCGTGCGTCCGTCCATTAATCTGTCTGTGTGTCCATTCGTGCACCTATTCAACACTCCAAGTACCACCATCTCGCATCTTTTCATCTTATATTCCTCATAAGGAAGCACCGCCATCTAGTGGACATTCCAAGGACTGAACGAGAGGAGGCACACGCACACTTTCTTACGGCTTGCGCTTCGTCTTTACTTCCCACCTTTAACCACATCGAGTTCATGGTATATACTAGTTCACTGTATTCATGGCACGGCGGTCCAACGCTCGCTAACTCTTTCTAAAACCTAAGAGGTTACGCACAGCGAGTATAACGTAGCAACCCTTTCTTGTCTTCTGTGCGTTGTTTAACAATAAAAATTCGCAGCGTGCGCGTTAACTAAAAACCGAACTCTGCTGTCTCTCATTCCCCCATAACAGCCATTGGCATGTACACTGAGCACTATCTTTTATTGTTCAACAACGCAAAAAAGAAATATCTCACCGACACTACTTACGAGGTCAAAATGTTATACTTGTTACACACTACTACAAGTGCTACGGTGGACGAACGGGTGCCGCTCTAAAGAGCTTCGCCCCTAAAGGAATCTTTCGTAGTGCGTTGGAGCATCGAACGACCCACTCGTTAAACTTTTCGCATTGTGTGACGCCTGGTTGTTTGTTTGCTGTTCTAAAACACCTTGTTACCATAATAACGCAATTGCTTTCCCAACATCAAGCCTGCCTAGGGCAAGTTTGTAAAGAAGTCATAAGCACCAGCGTAGCTCAGTAGTATAATACTGAGCTGGCACCCAGCGGAAACGAGTTCGAGGCCCACTGTGTCATTGATGGTAGTTTTTTTTTTTTTTGCTAACTTCGCGCGATATGATTACGGGCACCGGCAGCGGCGGAAAACTACGGTGATGTGCGAGACCTGAGTTGCGATCTCATAACAGCTCTTGCCGTAAAAGAAGGACACAGATGGTGCACTACGTTTCAGCGCGTCGTCTGCGTCATTCTTCTCTTTGTGTAGCGTCGTTTCACGCCCCTCTTTTTATTATGAACGAGCACCAATTCGCGCAACTTTTAATTTACTCTAAAACTACGCTAAGTGCTTAGCTTCTCCCGAAAAAAAATGGGGCCTGGGTAACAGAGCAGACCCGAAGTGCGTTGCGTTTCCATCTGGTGTGCCCATGGTGTTCAAATTGTTAACATTCGGCACAATGTCGATGTTAGCCCAAGTTCGGCGTCCAATAGCAACGCTGTTCCGGCTGTCACACCGTTTTCTCTGATTACGATCTAATCGCTTCTAATTAGAGCTACCACGAAAATTTATTAAACAGTGCTCATGGTTGTTAGTCATCGAAATTGAGATTTACCACCAAACTCCCACGCGAGTGTAATTACGTGAACGCTGTTATAGCTGCCAAACACCAATAAAGAGTATGGAAGCTCTCTTACGTTACTGTGCAGTAAATATTCAACTTATTCTGTGAGGACAGGTGTATTTTTGCGTCATACTGATTGCTATGACGGAAGGCTCAACCTTGTTTTTCCTACGTGCGCATCCTGTGAAATGCGCTGCCGCGAACGCAAACCAAGTCGCCCTAGCTCTTACACTAGCACCCTTTAATAATGATCCTTAGTGCTGGCAGCTGGGTGCCAGACTTTCTACAGCAGCACCAGTGCTGAACTACAAACTCGCAAGGCTTTCTACCGAAGGTATTACAAATATTCCTTTATAACAAGTTTCACGTCAGACCATCAGAAAATACTTTATTTCTGGATATTTCTTATGTTCACATACTTGTATGTAAAGGCAGCGCATAATACAGAGAGACACATAAACTGTAACTAATAGGCGCTGAATGCGCGTCTAAATTTTATTAAAAAGAACATAAACATATATCGGAGATTATATGTCACACATATTTCTAGCTGTTTGACATCATAATAGTGATGCAAAGGCTGGTACAAAATATTATTTCCGCTCAGTTGTGCATGGCGAGTTACCACGGAAGTGTTCGCGTTCGCCATTTGCAGTACGCAAATGCCAGTAGGTTGCATATACTGGATGTGGGCTCAGATTTGGGTGCAAGGTAAAAAGCCTCAGGTGGTCCAAATTTCCAGAACGTTACACTACGGCGTCTTTCGTACTTATATGGTGGTTTCGGGACGTTAAATCCCACACGTCAGTCAATCGTGCATATGATGCGATCAGCACAGCGCTTAGCTGTAAATGCTCATTCACAGGTCATCGATGATTCGATAGCGTACAGGTTATACTAAAGTGGGTGGTGGTTCTGCCGCAAGTTCTGTATCATACACTGGAAGCGTGTCTTGAGAATTATGAAAGTACACTGTCATCATCTTATAACCAGTATGTGGGAACCGCAGTATGGTTGGAAGT